GGCTCTACATAAGGCTGGTTTACTAGGCTTATTATATGCTAGATTTGGATTGATAGGGCCTAAAGGTTCTCAAATTGTTCCTCACTGTCGTTCATGTTGGACTAGTAAGGCACCCCGATCCTTACCCATTACAGGCTACGAACGGAAAAGGTTCAATTCGAGTGGAAGTATTTCGCTTGCCATTGCGGAGGTTATCACCTCACGAGAGCATAAGTACTTTACTTCCTCTTATAAAGGACAAAGCCCGAGTATAGAGCTCATGTATGAGATACATCGTGCCATTGTGTGCAAATATATCCTAATTTGTTAAGAGCAATATATATAGAAAAATAAAACATAAGAGGTATAGTAAAAGAAATGTGTGTGAATTTTTTACTTCTTATTTTTGATTTGTTTTGTTTTGTTTTTTGTTTTTTTCTTTTAGTAAAAATGAAAAATAAAAAATTTAAAAAATTGATTAAGACTGTTTAAATCAAAATTTGAGGATAACAAGTAGTTAATTTTGACCTGACTCTCAAAAACAAAAGGCGTCCCCAGTGGAGTCGCCAAGCTGTTGTAACGGTTTTGTGTCCGCTCGACGAATTTGGAAACGAAATAAAAAAACTAACGGAGTCACCACCAATCTTTTTTGGCTAGGTGTGATTGGCCACCTACTAAAACATATCCTTGTAATAAAAAATTTTAAAATTAATAAAAATTTATTAAAAAGATAATTTTACGGTCTACGAAATAGTCTGGGTTCGGGAGTCAGTTACGCGTGGGGAAGGATTAGCACCCCCCACAACGCCCGTTAAAAAATGATACCAATTAACAACATGTTATCTCTTGATTTTGATAAAAATAGTCCAATTTTGAGTGTTAGAAAAATAATTTCCTTGATTTTTTATTTAAAAAAAAATTCTCGAGAAAAATAAATTAAAACTTTTTTATTGAAATAATTCTTAAAATGTTTCAGTACGTTAGTAACATTATAAGAACTTTTTTCTCACCTAGAGATTTCTTAGGCATCGCTTCTCGGAATACTTTAGAATCTCATCTTCGGAGGCTCAAATTTACTTTTCGTGAAAAAAATGTCATGCATGCAATGCGAAATATTACCATGTTGACGCACATATTTTATTTTCCCTTTGTTAGAAATTTTATTAATATTTTATTAATATTCTTATTTAAAAAATTGAAGAAAAATAAAAATTTCATTATATTGAAGATTTTCTATAAATATTTCAATACACTGGTAATATTTTACAAAAAATCTTCTCACATAGAGATTTTTTAAAACATCTATACTCGAAATACTTTTAGAATCCCATCATCGGATAAAATTTCTTTTCTTCTCATTTTTATTACTCATATTTTTAATATATTCATCAATTTTTTTTATTACTTTTAAAAAATTTTTTTTATTATATTGAAAATTTTTTATAAATACTCTAATACGCTAGTAGTATTTAAAAAATTTTTTTCACCTAAAGATTTCATAGGCATCACTACTCGGAATACATTTGAATCTCATCGTCGGATAAAAATTTTCTTTTCTCTCATTTTTTATTAGTTTAGTATTATTATTAAATTTATTTTTATATTATTGCTTTTAAAAATTTAATCACAATTTCATCATTTGATCTAACAAATATAAACATTTTAATATGCATAAATATTAATAAAATAATATAAAAAATAAGAAAAATTTAAAAAAAAATTTTTTTTACCTGAATCGGACCGGTCAACGGTCCGGTCAACGTGCGGTTCGGTTTGACGGTTCAGTCCGACGGTTCGGCTTGGTCTGGGCACGGTCTGGGTGGTTCGGTTCGGTCTGGACAGTTCGATTCGGATTCAGTCAGACCGGTTAGAGGTTGATGAAGGAAGCGGGTCGCAGGTCGGGTGTGCGGACCCCGAGTCCGGTCACGGGTTGATGCGCGGATCCTGGGCTTAAAACGACGTCGTTTTGGGCGTTTAATTAAAACGACGTCGTTTTGGCTATTAACAGCTTATATAGAAGTCAAAATTTTTTTTTCACTCATTTCCTCCGTTTTTCAGACAAAAAATCATTTCTTTTCTTTCTTTTTCTTTTTCTCGACCAAATACAAATGGCCGGCCGGCCGTTCCTCCACCATCGTCGCCGCCTTTCGCTGGTCACCGATCGCCGTCGCCAGTGGTCGAAAAAATCTCTAAAACTCCAAAATGTTCCTTTCGGCCTCCTAAGTTCAAATCTGAGGTCATTTTCACCAAAAAAGTCTTAAAATCTCCAGATCCGCTGGTGAAGTTTCGATGAGACTATTTTTTTTATATCCTGACCCCCTTTTTTTTTTTTGAAACTAACCCCTTTTTTTCTTTTCTTCGTGCAAGAAGCTCGACGTTGGGTTCCTCCCTACGGGAGGACTGTGTATTTTTTTGTGTTTTTTGTATTTATTTTTTTTACAGCGTTTCCTTTCTTTTCTTCCCGTTTTCTTTGGTTTCGCTAGGAGCTCTATTTATAGAGCTCCAGCCATGTGTGTTTGGGGGGAAGGGCATGGGGTTCGGCACGGGTGTAAGCACGAGTCCCATGCCTTCTTTTTATTAGTTTTGGCTGATATCTGACAGTTTTGTCAATGAAAGGATATTAGAGGGAGGATAGGGTAAATGATCAGAAGAGGGGTGTAAGTTATTGGTCTGGTGGCATGGTATTGGTAGTATGCTGGGATGACATTGCTAATCCTCAATTTTCAGGAAGTTTTGTCCTTTTTTTTTTTCTTTTTTTATGTTTATATATTAAATAATCTTTATTATATTTCATATTTTATACCTATATTAGTATTTATTTATTTATTTTGGATAAATTGATGTCTACAATAAAATCCATGAAAATTATCCTTGATATATCCTTTTAACCCAATTACTTATATATATATTAGATATTCATGAATTTTAAGATGATTTATTTTGAAAACAAATTTATTTAAAGAAAAATATTAAAGTTTTTTTTTATAAAATAAACGATTTACGTGAACTAAACTACTGTAACCCTAAATGACATTTATACCCTTTGTTAAATATATATTGAATATGATATAATTCGATTTTTGTTTTGATTCATCAATCTAGATGATGATGTAATTTAATTAAGGGACGTCAAATTCAATCAATCATTTTATTAAAATATTATAAATATATTTTCATTATTTATGTGTCTTCACTTTTAGATTTGGACCATTTAGCACATTCCTTCAATTAAATCCGATATGTTGTTTAAAAAAAAAAGATAAATTTCATCTAAATTTTTTAATTTTGAGTATAATTCAATACAATCCTAAAATGAATAATTCACCCCCAATTTGTTAAATAATTACAAAATTACCTCTCAAAATTTATTGTGTTTAGATATTATTCTTTATTTTATATATCTATTAAATACATGGTAACAAAAATTACTTGTATTTAAACATTACAACTTTTTAACTTGGATTTACTTATTATAAATTATTTTTAATTTAAAATAAATAAATTTTTCATCACTATATTTTTACAAATAGATTTAAGCTTAAGATAAATACGAGTATTGTAATAATTAAAATCAAGTTAATAAATATTCAATTGTGATATATTTATATATATATTTTTCAATAAACTTTTTTCATATTATATCCTTCATTTTTTTAATTTGTTACATGCCAAAATAATGTTACATGCTTAATATATTTGTTTTTATTATACATATATTTATATATTAGCATACTTATAATTATAAGTTTTTTTTTATATGTTGTAGCTAAATTTTTTATTATTAATAGATTTGATATATCTTGAGAAAAAATAAAAATATTATTATAAAATATTACCTTATGCGAGCATTTGAATATATTTATTTTTTAAGAGTAAAATAATCTTTAAATGATTAATTTTCTTGTAAAATTAAAAAAATTTGAGATAAGTTATCCATTTTTCAAACTAATAGACTTGAGTTAAATTATACTTAAAATTCAAAAACTTTAATGGAATTTATCTTGTAAAAAAGAAAATTAAAAATAGATTAATGTTGATTTAAGTGATAAAAAGAATGTGTTCTTCTTTTTGTTGTCTGAGTTCGAATATATTGAGAGATCATGAGAAATTAAATTTTTATGAATTTATTATATCCAATGTAAATAAATTTATTTGAATCAATCCAAGAAAGTGATGTACTGGGCAAAGCCCAATAACCATTTTCTTGCTAAATAGGTTAATAATACTCATAATCCTTAAAATTTGATTCAAAATTTATTTTTATTTTTAATTAAAAAATTTTTAATCGAATTCTCAATTAATTAAATTTATCTTATTTTTTGTCTTACTGTTTATGAAACCTCTCAACTAATGGCAAATGTCAACTAGGTACTATAATGATATTAATTGACATCTCACGTAGTAAAAAAATTATCAAAATAAAATTTTTTCAAAATTTAAGGATCAAATATGAAATCATTTCAAAATTTTATATATTTTATATATATTTTATAAAAAAATTATCTTTAAAATTATAATTTTATATATTTGTTATAATATAATTTATTAGTTATATTTTTTATTTTACTAAAAAAAGATTTTTAAAAATTAAAAGTAAATTAAAAATTCATATTCTTTTTTGAAAAAATCAATATTTAAAAAAAAAATTATTTTTGATTAAAAATATTATTTTACTCATAAATCATAAAAAAAAATTATTTTCTATCCAAAAATATATTTTTAAAAAATATTAAATATCTTTTTTTCCTTTTTTCAAATATATTTTTAAAAAAAAGGAAAAAGTAAAAATAATTAAAGAAAAAATTGATTTTTATATATTTTATAAAATATTATACCTTAAAATATTTTTTAAATTTTTATTATGATATTATTTATCAATAAAATAGTTTTTTTAATAGAAAACAGATTTTTAAAAAATTAATATTAAATTAAAATTTCAAGGGCATTTTTATTCAACCATAAAAAAAATCAGGAAGACTTAATATGAGCCTAAAAAAATTGACCCAAAAAAAAAAAAAACACAAAAAGTACAAAATTCAAAATTGAAGGCCCAAAACAGTTCGTGGACTGTGTACAAAAACCCGCCCTTGAGCACACCGTCCGCTGACCACCGGTTCACCAAGGCACCCCGGGCACCCAGAACACCATAAGCCCTTGCTCGTCTGGCCTCTTCTGCCTCAATGCTTCGATTTGCAACATTATTCCAGGTTTGAACCCTTGAATTTTCTTCACCCTTTTCTTGGTAAAAAGTGCAAAACACAACATATCTTTTTTTAATTCTTTGGAAGAAAAAGATGATCAAAGCTGGAGAAGTAAAAAAGGTAACTTTTATGATTTATTTGTTTTTCTTCCAAAATTGTATGTTAAATTCTCATGATATATATATATATATATATACATATATTTCTGCCAGTTGTGTATATTTTGTACATTAAGTAGTTTGTTGAAAAATATTGTTGGAAATTGAATAGAACAATATTTGATGACCAGGAAGGTTGATGCCCTGAAACCCAAGTTTGGAATTGGAACAAGAAAGAGTTTTTTGATCAGTGGAAGTAATTTGGGAATGCTAGAGAAAAAACCCAATTTTTTTTTTTTTTGTTGAATTATATCAGGGGAAATGCTGATAGAGACTTCAATTTCTAGTTCAATTGAAGCCGGCTTATTTTATGTATATGAACATGGGAAACAAGATTCTTTATGTGATTGGATGCTTGGTAATGAAACTTGGCTGATGTCTCCTAAATGTGATGACCCATCTCAGAGTGGATGTAATGAGGCTGAGCGATCCTGCCTTCCTTTACCAAGAACTGGTTCTCAACGGTCGTCTGTGAGTGTTATGTCTGAAAGTCCTGTGCCTACTTTTGTTTACAATAGGAGGAAGAAACGGAGGGGCAGCAGCAGAAGTGCTAGCTCTGCTGTTGCCAACTTTTGTGCGGAGGCCCCTTTCAATTCAAAGAGAAGTGGGGATTGTCTTTCTGTTGTCAGTTCTGATGCACTTTCAGCCGCGGTCGTGGAGCGAGATAGGGTTTCTCAAGTTGAACATGAAAATGTAGCTATTCAAGATCCTGTGACGCATCTTGGATGCAGTAGAGAGCCACATATTTTAAAGTATGCATTTGCTAATGGATGTTCTGGTGTGGACGACCACAGTTCTGATAATGTACATAAAACTGTTATGCCAAAAATCATAGATGTTGACAGTATAAATGATAGTTGCTCATCATCGAAGTCAAATATGGAACTTGCATTAGCTTCTATGAAAGGTGAGATGGAAGAAAATGGTGAGTGCTCCTCCTCTAGTGTAATAGCTGCTGAAGTTGTGAGGGAAGATCTATCTGAAAAAGATTTGTGCCTCCCTATACTTCAGAACCCGGGGAATGTTGAAGAAGTTGGATGTTCTTGGTCTCATGTTAATGAGGAAATTGGGACTAGTGTTGCTAGTAGTTGTTCTAGGGTATGCAAAATTTGTGGTCGTTTGGAAACTGCACAAAAGTTGCTAATTTGTGATAATTGTGAAGAAGCATTTCATATACGTTGCTGCAATCCCAGGATAAAGAAACTACCAGTTGATGAGTGGTATTGTGTTTCGTGTATGAAAAAGAAGCGAATAATGCTCAAGGAGACAACTGCAAGAAACTCTTCAAGTATCACTGGTGGAATTGGCAGATGCCGAGATGTATCATCTAAAGTGGAACCCAGTCCAATAGAATTAATGTTGAGAGAGGCTGAGCCTTATAGAACTAGCGTTCGAATTGGCAAGGGTTTTCAAGCAGAAGTTCCTGACTGGTCTGGCCCAATTGATAAGTATGTTCCATGAACTACTTATTTTTAAATTAATTGTCTATATGGAATGCATAAGTTTAGAGGCTTTCTAATTGTGTTCATAGCAAAACATAGATATGAATGATACTCCTTTGTATTTGAGGTTTCAATCATGTTATGTTCCCTAATTATTTTAACTAGGCTTCTCTTTCTGACAGATGGAAATCTGTCTGAAGGAAGGCTATCAAATTTGTTGTTTGATGCTTTGATATATGAGAAGCTTAAAGGAGAGCATACTAATAGGTTATTTTGATTATAAACAATTATCTTTTTGTTTGGAAGACCCAAAGGATAGATTTTTTCTTGACCTAGACTAAGGACATGAAATAGAGGGAGGTTACATAAATTGTATGGGAAAAAATGAAGAGGTTTGACTTTGGTAGCAGGGTAATTTTGATGGCCTTGAAGAAACCCTGTGCCAACTAATAGGGTATTTATCTTGCTTTCTATTACAGTGATAGGCTTTCCAAGCCGTTCTTTGATGTCATGTCATGCTGTCTGTCAAATTGCAAAATGGTTGCAAAGATGTTTTTGAAACATTACTAAAAGGATTACCACCTTTTGTCATAGAAAAGTTACTATTATGTTGCTGTAATCTTGTCTAAGCCTCTTTCTTCACTAAAGAAAATCAATCAGAATTTAGAATTCCAATTTATGGAATTTAGCTAGGAGCTGTTATGGTATTCCTTTAATATATAGGTGGAATAATTTTCTCATTTCCCTTCACCAGTTGAAATGTTTTATAAGTTCTTGCCAAGGCTGAGCACATTGGAATGCTTGGCCTTTCTGAAGGGCTTTTAGTGAATTTAAAGTATATTCTGATTGGAGAGGGTCTGCTTTTGCTATCAATTTGTTTTGGAACCCTGCATAACTTCATAATTAGTTGGTGAATAGAAATTTCATCAATATGGTGTTACATCCAGCATTAGTTTAGTTTGAAACTCATTCTAGTCTTATATACTGGCCATACTTCCAAATTCCACTTGGTTTAAGTTGAATGCCTTAACTGAATTAAAGCTTTTATCATTGTTTAAATAACATTGCGGTACTCTCATATTGTCTTAATTGAGAAATCCAGTTACCTTTCTGTGCCAAATCATAAGCACTTCCATTTTCTGGGCCAGAATTAATTTTGGAACAAAATCTTGGGTGAAACAACAAATATTATTGCTGGGTCTTGTTGTGTTCTTTGCCTTTTTTATGATTAATCTTTATACTTTCTTGTATGGTGTCTCAAAATTAGTTTGTTTGATTAAACTCTAATTTGTTGTATGAGAAATTCTTGGTTGGATAGCTTAAAGCACCAAATCAAGGTTTGGGGTGGGGTGGGGTGGTACACTTGTGAATGCTAGATTAATTAATGTAACTTTTCCCCCACTTTCCGCTTTTCCCATTTTCTACAATGCATATTTCAATTCATCAATTGGTTGCCTGTACAAAGTAAAATGTAGTTACTGGGTTACTCAAGTGATTGACTGGTTAGTGACGATGTATAGTTAACTGTTCATTTTGTTTCTCTATGCTGTTAGCTTTCTTTCTTATTTGGTTACAAATTTCTTTCTCCTCTGACATAAATTACTTTGAATTTACATTGTTTCACATTAGAAAAGTTAATAGATGGAAAAAGTTATGTGCTATTATATGCCTTCTTGATCCACAAATCTTGTTGTTCATAAATAGTTTCTCGTTATATGATGCAGTGATGTTGATACCATTGGTGAACCACTAGAATTGGATCCTTCAGAATTTACTAATTTCCATGTAAGGCTTCAAATTTTTGTGTTGGTTAGCATTTTTCGTTTTGCAGATAAGTAACGATTTGGTTTGACGAGAATTGACACCTTTCTCATAGGAATTGAATTGCAACAAGTCATCTAAATTAAGTTCAATAGGGAACTGGCTTCAATGTAGAGAGTTCATAGAAGGTGTAGGAGGCAGTAATGGAACCATTTGTGGAAAGTGGCGCAGGTATAGTCTTCTTGTTCAATATTTAACTTTCTTGCTTTCTGTTTATGTTAGCACAAGTTGGTATTTGCTAAGATTCTTGGCATTTTTGTTTAGCGAATATTAATCAATTACTTGTGAATGCTAATTAACTTATAGATGAGTTATTCTTGAAACTTGAAATGATATCAATTCTTTTTGTCTAAAAGCTTAAATGTTGAACTCAGGGAATCATATCCTCAGGTAAACATGTTATATTATGATATTGATATATTGATAAGTTTAAGCCTCACTCTTGGTGTATTTTTGGTTTTTGAATATTGCTGATTCAAGATGCTTAATTTTTAAGGTCTTGCTTTTGTAGGGCTCCTCTTTTTGAAGTCCAAACTGATGACTGGGAATGCTTCTGCTCTGTACAATGGGATCCATCCCATGCTGATTGTTCTGTACCTCAGGTGATAACCCTTTTTGGTAACTTTATTCTATTCTATGCCATTGATTTTTGGAATGCAAGCTTCAGGATTTGGTACCTGAATTGGGTTTTGGAATTGATCAACTTAGAATTTGGATTTTCTATCAATGTGAACTTCCTCATGGAGCAGTAATAATTTTTAGAATTTTAATTGATTCTTTCCAAACTGAAAAATTAGTCTGGGATTCATGTCAATATGTTTCATTTGGAAGCTTAAAATTAAAGGTGGATCATGTTTGATGTGTCATCAATTTGTAGCTAATTTAATGCAAGCACCTATTTTATTACATAGATGCCAATTTAAGACTCAAACTTAACAAAGCCATCGCGTCTTTAGAAGTAGAAAAAGTCTTGGTTATTGTCCATTAATCTGTCCGAAACAGAACCTGCTGTGTCATATTGGTGGTAGTTTTACCTGATGAACAAGTTGTCCCCAATGTAAGGTTTTATAGCATATTGTCCGCAGCCACTTCTGTCCTCCCTTCTTATCTCCCTGCTAGTATCCCTGGTCAAGGCACTGCAACTACAGGATTTACTTTCCATTGTCCCTGCTCTTGTATTATAGAAATGCTAGTCCTATTTTAATTTATTTTATGTCATTATAGAAGATATCTGCAGTTTTAGTAAGTAATAAAAGGCTACAAGCCCAAGAGAAAAAAATTGAATTTCTTTTAAAATGTAAAATTCAATTTTAGTCTGTCATAATTGTGTTGTATGACAGTAATTTTACTTTAATCGAATTTGTTGCTTTATTTATTCCATCAGGAGCTGGAAACAGATCAAGTTTTGAAGCAGCTCAAGTTTATTGAGAAGGTATGTACCAATTTGCTCATTTATTTATCTTCACTAATTAGTGGTTGCAATTTGTTGTAGTCCATCTTTGCATATCAAATCATGCATGGAAGGAGGGTTAAAGAAGCCTTGAGCCATGTTTGCAACTTGGGCTTAGCTCAAGTGGTAAGATTGGAATGGGGTTGGGGTAGAGATCCTAGGTTTGGGGCATCGTGTTCTTCTGTGTGAAATTAACTTAATTCTACGTTGAACACTTACACATTTCTCAGGGAAGCAAATTTGTTTTAAACAAGAGTTATTTAGTATACCGCATGGCATTTATACATCCTAAACTACTAGGTGTGCGGGATTGGGAATTATTAGATGCTCTAAGGGGGCTACGGAACCCCAAAAGCTAGGCTAACTGGTTCGAAGGGCCATATTCTTTCTGTTTTTTGTTGAACTGGGCTAATTTTTAGTGTTTTAATTCCACATTAGTTAAAGTATGAAGTTTGTTATAGCCTAATATTCAAGTTGGGCTTTTTCACCTTACTAGTTGGTTTTAGGTTGAATTGTTAACACTTAAGAAAAAAGAACCAAAGCTAAACAATTTCTGGGGTTTCTAAATGACAAACCATTGAAAAATCACTCAAGAAGTGCTCCTTTGAAATCCTTGGTTATATTATAAATTTTCTGTTTGTAGATATAATGAAGATTATGTAGTTTGAACTTAATCACTCTGAAATATGAAATAGAAAAGTTTAGAAAGATGCCTCTAGATTGATAAATTGAAGAAACTGCATAATCAGTTGTTGATAAAAAAGGAAAGAAGGTGTTTTGTCATTAATAGAATTTATCCTTAGAATCTAATAGAAGTGTTTTAACATGAAAAGAACTGCAAATGATAAAAACTGTATGAAATGCCAAATTTGGTCTTTTTCACAGAGATGGAAAAGTAAAAAGAAACTCCTGCAACAAGTTGGATTGCATTCTCCGCATTAGGTTCAGAGATATCCAAAGGCTCTGTATTTTATTATTTATTTATGGTGTTTTCTGAGAAACGAGGTTTCTAGTGACTGGACAGGTAAAACAAAACTCAGGATGGGATAAAAAGTGATTTTATTATACCAATTTTCTTCAAGAGCTGTTATATAATTGATTATCTACGTGGTTTGGATTTGCCTTTAGCCTCGAATCAAATCACTCTTGTTCTTGCATAGAACATTCTGTGGATTCATGATAGTTCTCCGAACCCTGTGGTCTTGTATTTGTTTTAGTTCTTTGGAGGTTTGTTAACACTTCACATCATGTGCAGTTGAGACCTCGACTCTCAGCTAAACGGAGAAAATCAGATCAGACTAAGAACTGTAGTTCTCAAAACCATAAGAATGAGATGAGAAATGCATGGAGATAGGCTGCTTGGAAGTAATAATTTTCCCAGAGCATCTGTATGGGTTACCTTCCCAAGATCTTATACATTCAAAGTCGTTACAAACCCAAAGATCTCAATTTTGCAACTAGATATATTCCTTAACAGTTACCTCGTGTTTTATCGAATTATATTGGAGAGAATCATCAAATATGAAAAGTATTTGCATTGCCTTTCATGCTTCAATTCTGTTTCCATATTGTTTTGGCATTATGTTTTGGCTTGCCAGCAAATTCCTGCATTCAGATTCCTTTTGATCATCAGTTCCTCTGAAACATTCAGCATGAATTTGACATTCTGATCATACGTCCAATTCTATGATTTATGAACCCTCTAACTGCACTTTGTGGCACAAAAAAAAGGTCGGTAGGAGGCGTACAAGGAACTCAAATATATGTTTGGCCTCCCCTGCCTCCATGCATCCATGTTGTTTTAGCAACTTGTTTAAGAAATTTTAGTTACTAAATCTGACCAGACAATTGCATTGTTAGAATTGGACATGCAGATATATATCTATATATATATATATGTATGTTACATATGAATGGTGAGCATGAATGTTCTTTAAAATGATTGTTTTATTGAATCTTCGGTCCTTGGAACCAAAATTATGGGAATTTATTTAAGCAAAAGTCCTCCTAAGTTCTAATTAGTTGGAAATTACACTTTCCTCACTAAAACAGAAATTGAAGACATTAATTGCTGCACATATTCTACAAAGGGAATATCATGATCATAATACTTTTTCTACCACTTACAATTTTTAATTTTTTTTTTCACACTTGTAATCCTAGTGGGGATATCTCCAAGGCTTTGCTCTCCATTTCAATGCAACCCTCGTTCACTTCCTTGGTTTCCCTTTTGTAGATATATTTGCTTGATGCCCACAGAAAAACCCCCAAGTTAAGGGTTGATATGACCAAAAGGAATCCATAGTAGTAATCCAAATGAGAGTCATTCAAGTTGTCTCCAATCCAACTCTTGTTGTTACCTCTACCTGTAATTTTATCCACCATTGTTACTAAAAAACTATTGAGGAAGTTTCCAACACCAATTCCACTGGTGAAGAATGTTGTCCCTAGGCTTTGCATGTCTTCCGGTGACTGATCATAGAAGAATTCTAGTAGCCCAATAGCATTAAACACATCAGCTATCCCCAACAAAACATACTGAGGCAGCAACCAGAATATGTTCATGGGAACAATTTCTTTAGGCCCTACGATTTGATGTACTCTTACGACATGCATTCTCCGTACCTCCACAGCATACGCGATAGCTATAGCGATGACTTGGATGCAAAATCCAATTCCAAGCCTTTGAAGGAGGGTAATTCCCCTAGGATTTCCAGTTTTTCTACGCATGAATGGGACGAAGTAACGATCGTACATTGGAACAGAGAGGAGCATGGAGAGGGTGACAAAACTCCCTAGTGAAGCTGCCGGGATTTGAAAGCTGGAACCTAAGCTTCTATCCAAGGTGGTACCTTGTTTCACAAACAATGTGTTTATTTGAGCCCAAATGGTGCTAGGAATTAAGGTCACTAGCCAAATTAAAAGCATCCCTAGAACAAGCTTGGTTCCTTCCACTTGTGTTACCGTGCAGGGTGGCCTACCTGAGTTGCCATCTTTAATTGCAGCCTTGTCCAAGAATCTGTGAACATAAATGTGAATGACACACTATTAAGTTAAGATGATTAAATAATTATAAACACTATGCCATTAATTAATTAGTACTAATTGGCATTAGCTTTTCAAGATTCTAAATTAGATGTTGACCTTGAAATTAACCTATTGCAATGCAATTCAGGATTCCACCACACGTGTTTCACAAATCATTTGTCTTTGATTTGATAAGAAATCCATGTGGTGGGGGCAGTTGGCGCACCATTCACCGTGATGTGTCCCCCATCCGTCAGACACAACAAGGCCTTGGTCCCAAGAGATTATGACCATTGATCATTAAGGGTGTCTTAAAGGAGTACTGAAAACAGTTTCACATGGAAGCAATTTATTAACCCAATGGCTATCAAATTTTACCATACTCCCCACCTTTGCCTTTGCAACAAGAGATTTCCTAATTATGCACATGATTAGGAGGCCCCCCTTGCACCAGTTTCTAGAACCAAGGATTTAAAGCACATTGGAAAAATTGTACGGACTCGGACTCGGACTGTTAATGCCAGTGCCACAAATGGTTAAAGGAAATGAGTCATTTTCAGCTTTCGTTTATATTATCTTATAACTGTGAAAATTCGATACTATAGTTGTATGTTATAGTGGGAAAACTCACCTGAAAATTGGAGTGTAATGGACCTGCCTCTTTCCACTGTTGATGTAATGCTGTGGCTCATGTTCATGAAGCTGAGATGGGTTATTAGGGAGCTGAAGTTTCCGATTCTTGAAGGCAGTAACGGGGACTTCAATCAGGTCCCCGGCAGGGCTTTCAGTCTTCCTTACTTTGTGCCTGTAAATTGGGGTCCCAATATAAAATACAAATAGAGAGAAGAGAAGACCAACTGTTGGGATTCCATATCCTAGTCCCCATCCCAAGTTTTCTTGAATGTAGACAAGGCCAAGAGTAGCAAACAAGGCACCCAAGAAAGAGCTGAACATCCACCAATTGAAGAATGAGACTTTGAGCTCTTTCTCGTGGGGGTTAAAATCATCAAACTGGTCTGCTCCAAAGGTTGATATGTTAGGTTTTGTTCCCCCTGCTCCTAGTGCTATGATATATAGAGATGAGTAGAAAAATGCAATTTGTAAAGTAGAGGCCTTGTTGCAGACTCCATTTGTGCAAGATGGCTTCAAAGATTTGAGTGAAACTGCTGTTGTGAGCAATACCATTCCCTGTTCATATTACATCATGATATATTAATCAACACATATATAGAAATTTTGATTTCAGAAAGGGGATTTGAATAATAAGTGATCATGCATCAATTAATTATGCCAAATGCTCAGATGCAACACATATCTAGAAATTAAAAAAAGATCAAGTAAAGAGCAACAAACTCATCTTCACAAAAAAAATTATAGTATTAGGCTAGAAAATTATGTTCCTGTCATTGTTTAATTAATGAGCATGTGCAAGTCAAATTAAGCACTTAAGAAAAAGTTGCCTCATGTATCAAACAAAAATATTCTCCCTTATTATCAACAGCAAGAAACTTTTTTTTTCCCATTGGCCATTGAATATTGAACAAATTTCTGCTTTTATCAATGAATACAAATAAATTCATGTCTTTTTCAGTCTGTTGCAACTCATTTTCCACAAATTTAAACACTGTAACAAAATACTTCCCCAATATTAAGTGCAAAACATGACAGGACGCCAACTTCTTCTGTAGTTGTAACGAAAATCAGATATGCTTTGTGGGAGCACAAAGTATTAGATATAGTATCAACGTTAGTTAAACTAATAAATCAAAACTTACTATTCATTGGACCCACTAGAGCCAAAAAATAATAATAATGAACCCAATTGGCCTTATAATGGTTGGTATCTAGATGTATGGTCCAAACAAATGGTGTGACCCCTTTGGCAGCTGAAGATAGTGGATATAAACCACATCATTTGGAATATACATTTTGGAATTAGGTTAATGGAAGACTGCCTTTCAGATCAGACAGAGTAAGTTTTAATCATCAGGACTGATGATATTAGAAATAAATAAAAAGCTTAGTTGAGAGAATTTGTTGCTGATTTACCATGACATAGATGAGAGATGAAACAGTGAAAGTCCAGAATCGACCAAGGTAAGTATCAGCTATGTATGCTCCAAGAATTGGTGTAAGCCAAACCGATCCTGACCAGTTATTCACATTTCTGACAGATGAAACTGTATCTTCATGAAGTTGAGTGGTCAAGTAGTTCACCAAGTTTGAAGCTATTCCATAGAAAGCCATCCTTTCAAATGCTTCATATCCTGTTAAAATTAAGTAGTAAAATTAATCAAAATATATATGATAAAAAAAGTTAGAAACTAATTGAGCCTATACAAAATTGTACAGTTTTAGTTCCAGTGATCAAAGTTTCATGTTGTCGGATGAATATCTTTAATATTCTGAGAAAAGAATTGAGAGGAAAAAAAAAAAAACAAACAAGTAGAGAAAGAAGGAAAAGTTAGTAGTTTGTTACCAACAAGGAAAGCACAAGCTTTCCATTTTCCAGTCTTGGAGGCAAGGACAGGGCGGCCACGAAGATCGACAGTTCCATCTTGTGTGTAACCTTTGATTTCCATTTGATAAGAGATATTCTGGAAGAGTGATGGAGTGTGAGAGGAATTGGTGAAAGAAAGAGAAGAAGACTATAGCTCCAGGGTACGAGCCAAAGGTGGTAAGCTTTGCTGTATCGGTATGTAGTGAAAGCTTAACTTGGCTCACGCTACTTTCTAGCTTCACACAAAAGCCTGCGCTAGCTTTATATAGCCGCATGCATTTGATTTTTGACCGTTCAATGTCAAGGGTAGTAATGTAAATGATAAATTAATATTTGTAAGTTATTTGATTTGATGCAAATAAAATTCGAATTCAATTTGATTATTATCGAATCGAATTTGAATTTGAATAATTTAATTTATTGAGTAAATTGAGTTTGAATATTCTAATGTCTTATTCAAATAGTTCATAAACCTAATTAAACATTTAAATTTTAATATATTTTTATTATTTTAATTAAAAAATTATTATTTTATCTTATATATATATTATATATATATATATATATATCAATTCGAACACAAGACTTGAGTTTAAACATATAATCGAACTTGAAATCAAACATGAAACTTGAGTTCATTTTATTAAATTAATCTAATCGAGTAAATTCAAATAATTTTATTTTTATCTTAAGTTAAACTTAAATTTGAAAATTAAAACTTAATCGAACTTGAGTTGAATTTTAAGCAATAAATTTTAAATCTAACTAAAATTTGAACTTTTTATTATATTAATTCGAGTTGATTCGATTAATGTTATGATTTTTTGCACTCTATTTTTATTTTTTAAAGTTAGCGTCATATTGATATCTCTTTTAGTGATCAATTATGTATTCTTTTCTTTCTTTCTTAGTGTCATAGTGATAGCTCTTTTAGTGATCAATTATTTTTTCTTTTCTTTTCTTTCTATATTTTTGGTTTAATTTAAATTACTTGTTGAAAGATTAATCCTTGCTTTTTTATAAATATTTGATAATTATATATGCTTTTGTTAATTTAAAATTTAACATATGTATGTTGATGATATGCTTGATACAAACATCGCATTAAATTTAAAAATCTTTTTTAATAGCAATTAAATACTAATCTTTAACCAAGCAACTTTTTGGTACATTAACTTAGCAAAGTTCAAAGAGGAAAGAGGTGATTCAAGTGACCTAATTTCTTTTTTTTTTTTTTTTAATCTTGAAAGGAGTGATTACGTAACTTAAGTAATGTTAGTGACCTTTTGGGTAAAAAATAATAATGTTAGTGGTTAATTGTAAATTTTCAACAGATTAAATTATAAAAGTGTGATAGTAATAAGTTAATACGTAAAGAGATGGAAAGTGTACCTAAATGACCTAAATGAAAAAAGTAGAAATATGAGTATTTGAGGAGGAGGAAACATAATAATTAAAAAGCAAGTATTTAAAAAGTTATTGCTCGTTGACTTAAATGGTTTGGCCTCAATGCTCTGTGGGACACTATACCTTTAAATCCTTCGTATCTTATTATTTATTTTATTAAAAAAATTTTTTACAAGCATAAAATTTTTTTAATTTATAAATTTAAATATCAACTTTAATAATATATTTATAAATATAAATTTTAATTAATAATTTAATTAAAAATTCGTGAACCAAACGTCTATTATTACTTAAAAGGGTTTTGGATTGAAAGTACGACACATATCACACTTCGCAGCTGAAGTGGGGTGACCACTCAACTAAGGGTGCAGGCTTGGTTTAGATACTTTCCTTCGACCAAAGGTAATGAAATCAGTCCCACCAATTCTATAACTTGAGTTCATTCAAGAGTCTCACAAACCAAACCATCCCATCAATGCTGCCATATATAACAATCCATTCGAAATGAAATGGGTACTTCTAATAAAAATAGTAATAATAATAATAATAATAAAACTAAATTTGTTATAGATTATAATATAATATAGAGGTATTTATGAATCGAATTATGTTTGCATGTTCAACTTGATTCAATTTAATAGTTTCAAATAATAAGATTTTGGATTCAAATTTTAAATTAAATTAATTATATTGGAAAAAAAGTGTTGTTAATATTGTTTTCCACTCAATTGAAAGCTTAAGCATAAATACATGTCTATGCAACAAAATTAAATAGTCTTATAGTACAATTTTAATCCAGTGAAAAAAGAAAAAAATATATATATTTCTGAGAAGATTTGATTCAACTTGCTGAATGCAAATGATGCATGCATTTAGTAAGATGATGTAAATACATGAATTTCATGACAAAAAAAAAAGTTTGTCATCTAGAAAAAGTATTGAAAAAAGAAAAGAGAAAAAAACAAATTAAAGCCTCCCATCAATTGATTATATATTGTGCAAAAGTAAATTCAAGTGGATGATTTTCATTCCGGAAAAAAGATAATTATAATTTTTTATATTTAAAATTATTAAAATTTCAACTCTGATTATTAATATTAAAAAATTAATATTTTATCAATCGACCACGTAATCATTTACATATTGATTATGCAAACTAAGCTTTTTCAATAATGATAATAAAAATAATCATTGAGTTGATGATTCTTGGTAACGCGAAAAACATGCTATGATATGAGTCTCTTGAGAGTCCAACTCATTCCCACCTAGTTTATTTATATTGCAACTTGGATTTGCTTAGATATGATTTGGCCTTGCCAGCCAATAATTTCTTTTATATTGTCTTAGACTCAAAGTTCTCCTTTAAAAATAATTATCTTAAACTAAACTTGGCTCATATCTAGTGGTTATCACTACATTAATATATCAAGTTGAAAGTAGCATGCGTTTTAGATTCACGCATGGTATCCGGTTCGACTCATCTATATATGTTATTTTTATTCATTTATTTCTAATACATTCATTACCATCATTTACGTTGATACTTACAAATATGAATAATGAATAGATTTGTTTATGGGGCGAGTTATCTACCCGATTCAATAGGTTCAACTTAATTACGATCGGATTTTGCATATGATTTTTCAAGCTCTTGAGATATTATTAAATTAATAAAAATAAAATTTTATTGTATTTTAATTTTAAAAAATATATTTAAAAATCTTAAAATATTTATATTTTTAAAATTTTAAAATTTTGAATTTGACAAGATGTGCTTGGAATAAGAATTTTTTAAAAATCAATTAAACCCGATCAATGGTCACCTTTAATGATGAATATATTGGAAAATAGTGTGTATTACAATAAAAAATTCCACCTATTGTATTTGAATGATTGATATAAACTAATTTTGAATATATATCTAATATCTTCAATAATTTGATTGAAAAATTAGTGGACAATAATTGACTTTTTTTTTTTATAAATGGAACCCATATTTGTTTTGTATAACTTTTTAATTAGATGATCTTTTTTAGAGTTTTTCTTTCTAATTGGTATTATCATTTGACATTTATCATCTTATCTTTTCTAATATTTTATCCATAAATAAAGCTAGCTGCTTTGGCAAATTGGCATATCAAATCTCCAAATCAAAGTCTAATCTTCCACATGACAATGGCAAGTTAAAATTCGAATCCAAAAACTTTTAGTAACCACTAAAAATCGAGTGGTAATGGTGTTAACTCATTCGAAAATAAATGAATCAAAGTAAATCCACCATTGGACAAAAAGTGCTCAATTGGCCAACTTGCTTTGCTCAATCGATATGTCTTTTTCTACCTATACCAATATTGGCCCTAAGAAAGAAACCTTTGAATAAATATCATAGAAAGGCATTCTAGACAGGGCATAGATGCCAACCATCCAACTTCTTTTATTTTGATTTTTATTTTCTAAGACCATGAAAAGCTCTTCTTTTCCTTTTTTTTTTTTCTTCCTTAAAGTCTAATTATAAAATGATGTCATTCTATTAATTTCGTTTATGATCGTTAAACAATTAAAGTGTACCAAAGCAATAAAAAATTATTACTTATAGCAATTGCTTTTTTGTTAAAATTATTGTTACTTCTTTGCTTCAAAAAAAAAAAAAACAGAATGCATATATATGCACCCAAACATTGAACAATTTGATCATTGTAATGTTTCATTGAAACAGACAGATCATGAAGAAGAAAACTATTCGATATATTTAGAAACTTCCTCCAGGGCCAAAGCATTAATGGACTTGGTATTATTGGAAAATTGACCCCATCAACAAAAAGTAACTAGCACAATTGCACCAAGAAGTTATGAGATTGATCATAAACGCTATGATCAGCTACGTGTTCAAAGCGATAATAATAAATTCCATTTTGACTAAAATTTTATACAAATTGAGCACCCAAATATGATAAGAGCTCTTTTCAATAAAAAATTATTGCTAATTGATTTTAAATTGAATGACCTTCCTACAATTTAATATAATATCAAAATTAATTCTACTCATTGATTGATCCTGTAGTCATACGTTTGTGATTCTTACACGTTAAGTCCATTATCTTCACATATAAAATAGATATCGTGTGATAAATCAATTATTTTTACATATGAAGGAAAGTATCTTAAGATTGTTGTGAGCAAACAAATACAATCTATTAGTAAAATACTTAAAATTTTAGTGATTAAAATTCAATCTTTGACGATATCGAATAAAACAATGCAATAAAGATATCTCAACCTATATATGGTTGTACATCGTGTAGACATGGCAGAGACCTTGGTTGGCCTGCCTTGGGAACTGTTTCTTATCGTGTAAAACCTACCCTTACCACCGACCGCACTAAAGTAAGCCTTGTTCAACAACAATAAGACCTTCCTCACTATATGACTATGCGACAACCGACATTTTCTTGGTACGTTTGAAAGAGATTGTAGATCAGGTCAATAGTACTGTAATAGTCCAAGTTGCTGTTACTTGATTTTTTCGTTTTCTCAAATGTAGCCTTTCATATATAGCTGAATATAAACACTGGAGAGATATAATTTTGTAACCCAAAAAAAAAAAAAAAACTGGCTATGGTAGAAAGTTTGACACTAAGATGGGGGATTTGTGTTTTTGGGGGGGCAAGATGGAGTGGACCTACATGTATGATTCTTGATCATCAGACTCCAGCCTCAGGTCTGTGATCTGAAGGGATATGAGTCGTATACAGTCATCCTCTCAAGCAATGGCAGAAAAAGCAAAATACAATGGAAGTGGCAATAAAATTCTTTCCAAGGTTGATGTGTTTCTATAGA